CATCTCTGCACTTGTTAGATGATTCCCACAGGTAGGTTCATTCTGATGAAAATCTCGCCTGCTTTTGGAAGGTGTCTCCCTTCACAGTATTGCCGCTGGCCTTGGCAATGTGAATGTTTTACTCCCTTGTTTGTCTTTAAAGCAGTTGCCAATGTGAAACTTCCCAGCCCAACTATATTCTTTCACAGCCTGAAACAAACAGCTGCTCAGTGAAATGCTAGCATGCAGGTTGGGATGAACCTGAGAGGTAGTGATTGCTCAGTCCCTCACAGTGGGGCCATCCTGCAGCTACACTATAAACAATATACAGTCCACCAATACCGGCATTCTAATGCATGTACTCTAGCTAAACTTCAGGCTGCTTCCTGTGGACGGCGGCCTTGAAGTCACCCCCTTGCTTTGTTTTTTGGGCAAAATTTAAATCTAGGACTCATAGGAACTGTCCTGTTACAAATGCATTATGTGTTCTTAAGGGTAGTTTGCTGTATAGACACCAAAAAGACTGCTTTCTCTTACTTCCGCCCCTTCCCTACCTTTTCCACATTCAACAGGTGCTATAGTTTCAAATAACTTCTGTGGTTTTTGTGCTATGTACTACAGAAATGTGATTTCCAAACTTGCATGCACATCAGAATTGTATTAGTCAGAATAGATCAGGTTGTGCTGTAGTTACAAATAACCCTAAATCTCAGGGGCTTAACACCACAGAGGTGTGCTTCTCACCCACTGAGGTTCATGGAGGGCCATATGACTCCACGACAACTGTTTTCCCTGGGCAAACTAGCAAGCTAGGTTGCTTGGATCTTGAGACCTCACTATCTTCACTCAAGCCTTTCCCTGTAGCAGAGGAAATGAGGGATCTTGCAATGGCAATTAAATGCCTCGGCCCAGAAGAGACACATATCACTTCCACTTATTTGTCCAAATCCTACAGCTCCACCTAACCGCACAAGCTCTTTGCTCTCCCCTTCTGCTGGGAAGAAAGAAGAATCAGAATAGGCAAGCGCTGGAAAGCTCTGCCATAAGAATCATTTAGTGAGATTAGGAAAAATATAGATGCCACGGCCCGAACACCAGAAAGTCTGATTCAATTGTCCTGAAATGGGGCCTGAGGACTTAAATTTTTTGGCAGATGTCCCAGATAATTCTGATACAATCAGTACATGGATGGACATTTGGGAACCAATGCTTTAGTAAATTTAATTCCCTCTTGGGGTGACTATTGACTGTTTAGGTGATAAGACTGATACACATCCAGGAACGTACAAAACAAGTTAGTATGTAACTCAGTGCTAAAATATGCAGGATATGCAATAAGTGTTGTAGGAAGTCAGCAAATGAGTGGCTCTGTCAGACAATTCATGATAAGGAGCTCTTGCTCAGCATACATTTGCATGTGTATATATGTGTGTGCGTGTGCGCACGCACTTGCTGGGAGCCCAGAGTAGAGAAGTTAAGAGAGACAGATGTCCAACAGTATTTGTGATTTGCAATTGGGAATTTGCAGTTGGGAATGCAAAAACAGTTCTCTCTCCACGGTGGTTGAATCTGCAAATGTGAAACCCAAGGACACAAAGGGCTGAATTTATTGAAAACAATCTGCGTGTAAGTGGACCCTCACAATTCAAACTTGTGTTGTTCAGGGAGGAGTTGTATATCCAACAGTCCCTGGGTCCAGGGTAGAGTTTGTGGCTACAAAAAAATATCCAGTGAACATCTTCCCAAAAATCCAACAAGCAACCTTATGAGCTTTGGTTTGCTGGGCCTGCCTTCCAAAGACTGTTTTCTTTCTCCTAGGGACCTGCTGATACATAGGGTTTACAGCCACCTTGCCTTTTTGTAATTTATAAACTGAAGCTTATAGCACAACAAAATTTAAAAAGCATTTAAACAGAACATAGCATGGTTTAAAAGTCAAATTAAAAAGTGATTACTTTACAACCTTATCACTTCTATTCTCTAACCAGCTGAGGCATCCAGCCTGCCCTAGACCACTTAATATTGATCAAAGGCCATGGTCAAACCTGGCAGCAATAAAGCCCCTTTTAATAAGAATGGCCTTGGACTTGGAGGGGTCCTCAGTTGAGCCAGATTAAGAGGTGGAGCAACTGGCCCTCAGCTCTAACGGGCACTAGAACATCACTGGGGCACTGAGTATCACTGGGGGGATTAAATTCACTGGAAATGACATTGAAGGTGGAGAAATTACAACTTCCAGAACCTCTCTGAGGTGAGTATTGAATGTGGTTGAAAAGAATCACCTGCTTGAGAGGGGGTTTGAGAGGTGGAAGGAGGAGACTCCAGGGGATGTGCTCAAGTAATAACAGGTGGTCATTGAAATCTTTTCTGAGGACTGGTCCAGTGAACTGTGGGGTGGTCTTCTTCTTGCCACCAAGGGGAAGGTGAGAACTGCCACTATCAGACCACCTTCTTCCCTCCTCAGCACCCAGTCTTTCTTCTAAATAAGAACTGAATAAGTATTTTTGCAAGTATCAGTCGAAGGATCCCCACATTAGTTACCTGCCCAAAGTACCAGGTTGCTAGCCTGCCCAGGCACCCACGTGTGTCAACACTGTCCTGCTCTTTTTGTAGAGTCAGTCAGGGGTAGTATGCCTGGGACAAAGGGAGAAGCAATGGGTTCAGGTCCCCCATGGAGGAGCCAGGGATGGGCCTGCCAGAGAAAGGCCAGCTGCCCAGGAATCACAGGGCTAGTCATCCTAGAGGTAGCAAAGTTCTCTCTAGCTGCTGGGTTCAGCTTCCAATCCAGGAAAGAATTGGGAAAGAGAAAACAAAAGAAAACAAGACAAAACAAAGAAACAGAAAAGGTGAGGGGGAGGCATAAAAGAGTAGAAAAGAGAAGGGCCAAATGACACCTGGTAGGAGCTTAATACTTTTTTTGAATGAAGGATTGAGTTATTGGAAGTGAATAAAAGAGAATGAAAAGTACAATAATGAGAAAGGGAAAAACAAAAAGGAATATGATAATGGAAGCAAGTGGGAGTTGATTAGAGGAAAGAAGTAAATAGCTAAATTTAGGAGATGAGAGGAACATACAACAGTACCCAGGCAGATTCTCTCCTTGGGTTACCATATGATTGCCAGAAGCTTCAGACTCACAACCCTGGTTCCAAGAGCTCATGAAAGAGACCCTTCAAAAGTCTCTACAGTCCCTTGGTTTAAACCAAAGCCACTCTGTGGCTGTCCCTGAACTGATCACTGTGATCCAGAGTCACTTGATTGGGAGAGGAATTCCACCAATTGTCCAGACTTCCCTCCACCAATGTCTGAGGGAGCTCGGTGTCTGACAGGTTAGGCTGAGTCACTTGCTCCATCTCTGGAGCTGGGGGTGGAGCTCCCTCCACAGCACTTAGCATAAGAATGGGGAAAGTATGCTTTCAGATCAAAGAAGGGAGTGTGGGCGCTGAGTTGGCAAAACTCCAGAATGTCTGCTACATCAGCCCTTTGCATATTCTTTGCCAGGGTAATTCTTCTTTGATCTTTGAGACCATATTTAGACATCACTTCCTCTAGGAATTCTCCACTGATCTGTTTTCCACTCCAGATTAGATGCCCCAGAATAGAATCTGTGTTCTCGTGGCTCTCTTTTCTAGAATGACAGCTCCTTCAAGGTTTTGCATCTTTTCTCTGTATCCCCAGAGCACAGGGCTTGACCTAATTAAATTTTGTTGAATGCCTGAGAGGGAATGCATGCATGTGCATGTGGAGGGAGGTATGTGTGTGAGAGTAGGACTTGCCTCTCACCTTCAGACAGGGCACAGCCACATTGTGATGGCTACACCCAGGAGTGGTGGAGATTTTTGCTCAAGCAGAAACCAGTACCTCTGGGGTTGGAGCCCCATTTTAAACACATAGACTGAGTGGGGAAAGGGGTTCCACTTCCCCAGGGGGCGATAGTATGGCCACCTCCAAATTGGTGTCACCAGTGCTACTATTGTCTCAGGTTCCTAGACTCCAGGAAGTGTCCCCTTCGCACTGGGGGCACCAGGAGGGCATCCTGTCACATCAAGTCTTAGAATCCTGCTTCTTCATATCCACTTCTTTCTATTACACTATCCGCTGCTGATCTGACAACCTCCCTGTCCCTCATCTTTACTCTCTTCTTTGCCTAACTCCTCTAAAACTTGTACACAACTGCCATAACAATGGTTCTTAAATACTGATTATCATGTCATCCAATTTATGAAAAACTTCTTTGAGTCCTCAATGCTTCCAAGAAAAATCCTAAATTCTTCAACCTGGAATTAAAGTTCATGGTCAGTCTTTTCCCAGATAGCACATGCATCCATTCTCCTCACTCCTCCCCTTCCGGACCCAGGCCCCAGCCTATAACCTCCTCTCCCTCAATATTATGCTCACCACTTCTTTCTCATTGCTCATGTTCTGTCCCTGCTTTGTGTCCTCATTTTTCTATTTTGTTTTATAATCGGACTTCTTAATTCCTGTGTTTTTCGCGAGGTGTTTTCTGACCCTTTTGACCCACAGAAATCTTTTTCTTCTCTGAACTAATATATTTCTAGAAAAATTGAGCCTATATCCATTGTATCAAACATTCAATTGGCACTTAATCACATACTGCTCTATGCAGTTTTTTAATTTTTCCATTATTACATCAAGAATTCTTTTATATTCCTCCACAGCACCTAGCAAAGCGCTGGGAATGTAGTCAGCACATATTGTTTGTTAAATGAAAACGCAGAGGGGAACGTGTTGAATGAAAAGAGGCGATGGACAACGTGACTTTAGAGTATCTGGTTTTGTTTCAGTTTGGTTGTGAATATTATGTGTGCCTTTTGGCTTATCACTTAACTTTCTTAGCCTCAGTTTCCTTGTTAGAAAATTGAGGATAACCTTAACAGCTGTACAGAGGTTACAGGGTTATGGTGAACCCTAAATGAGAAATTACACTTTATGACTTGCTAAGGTAAGCTATTGAGATTGTTTAAATTTCAATTTAAAAATATTTTTCTTCTTACTTTTAGACTTGCCACCTTATTTCTCGAAAGAGGGCCGAACAGGATAGGCGGTCTTTACAAAAAGGCTGTTTACAGACACTACACAGATGATACCTATTCCACGGAGATCCCCAAACCTCCCTGGCTTGGATTCCTGGGCCCCATCTTGAGGGCTGAAGTAGGTGATGTGATTGTCATCCATTTAAAAAACTTTGCTTCTCGACCTTACTCTTTGCATCCACATGGCGTTTTCTACAACAAAGATTCGGAAGGTAAATATCAATCCTGTATTATTGGTGTCTTGTCTCTATTTCATAAGTTAGACAACTAACTGTCAGTTACGGTGAAAGAGCTTCTAAGAGCACAATAATTACACATGTTCATTTGTCTTTTCTTTGTCTCCTTCTCTCCCTATCCCCCCCTCCATCTGTTCCCCCTTCTCTTCTTTCTCTTTCCTTTATTTCTTTCCCCCTTTCTTTCTTACTCTTGTTTATGTTGATACAAAACTGGGTGCTGGGCTTCCTTGGCACCTGCTATACCATGCCCCTCAGCAGCACACTAACTTTCTTCCTTGTCAATCACTCGTGACTGGGCAGCACACTAGAGCAGCATGCACTAGCAGGTTTCAAGGATCCTGTTGCCAGTAATAGCCTTGGCTACGGGGAGGATGTCTCAGTGAAAGCTGATCTCATCTTCCCTGCGTAAGCCTACTATCTTTGGTGCTTCCTTTCTAAAATACCCTTGCAAGAGCTTCAATAGTGCAGTTTCTCAAGTCTTCCCTGTTTTCTTTTTTTTTTTAACTTTTAAGTACTATCCTTAGACTTTTGAGATGGAAGTATTCCCCAGACATCAAAAGTTTTTTGCATCTCTCATAGCATTCTTCCTCACACCAAGGTGGAATGGGTCAAATGGTGCCATACCTGCTACACTCCTGGCTCTGGAGACTGTGTCAGGCACAGTACTCTGATGTAACTTGCTTTATCATTAAGGAGGGTATTAACAAATGTCCCACGACAGTCAAATTGGACAGACCACTGCCAGGTCTGTCTAAGAAGCAGGAGGAGAGAAGTCTGAAGATAAACATGAGACATTGAGATTGTCCTTTGTTCTCAGCCCTTTTCCTCCATCTGAAGTGCAGCAAAGTTCTCAGTCCCAGATTTGGTAGTTCTGAGTAGCTGAAGATGAGCACATAAAACTGTTCCCAGTAAACTTGGAGAGAGTTTTGTAAATGATAACTATTGATGCATTTTCTTTAATATAGTTTCGTAAAAGTATTATTTATGCTGCTGGTAAAGATGTGTCATAATAGCTGTGCCTGTCTTTTTAAATATGGAGAAAATAGGGGCCTTTATGAATCTTTAATTTTGTCCTTTCTCCTTCATATATTTCTGGAAAGCATACCTTAATATTGCTGATGGTGTCCTGAAAGATCATCTAGGCCAGTAATTCCAAAGCTTTATAAGATCACAGATGCTTTTTAAAAAATTTGTGGTAAAACACACGTAAAATTTACCATTTTACTATTTTAAGAGTACAATTAGTGGCATTAAGTACATTTAGCGTTGTCCAGCTATCACTACTATTCATTTCTAGAACCGTTTCATCATCCCAAACAGAAACTTTGCACTCATTAAATAATAATCCCCTATTCCCTTCTCCACCCAACTTGCTAGTAATTACTACTCTACTTTCTGTCTCTGTGAATTTGCCTACTCTAGGTACCTCATAAAAGTGGAATCATATCATATTTGTTCTTTGGTTTTTGGCTTATTTCATTTAGCATAGTATTTTCAAGGCCCATCTATGTTGTAGCATGTTTTAGAATTTCAACCCCTTTTAAGGCCTAATAGTATTCCATTGTATGTGCATACCCAGGAAGACTTCTCATAGCCTATAGTAAATAGGTCTCTTCCATCTCAGGAGTTTGTTGGTTCCCTTCATAGCACGTATAAAGCCTGTACAGTAGAAGGAAACTTTTCTGTGTGTATCCTCTTCCTCATTTGTGTGTGTTTCTACATTAGACTGTAGACTTCTGGGAACAGAGACCATGCTGGGTTTTCCTGGGCAGTGTTCTTCAGTGCTTGGCACAATTCTTGGCATGTGGCAAGTGCTCTATAAGTACTTTTTGAATAACTCTCAGATCTAGCCCCACATTATCATTTTATAAGAAATCAAGGCCTAGAAAGAAAAAATGCCTTTATCAAATTCTTATAGTTGGTTAGCAGCTGAGTTATAATAGACACAGACCTCCTCTCTCCCATGCTAAGGCTCTCTCCACTACTCTACTCTGCTCCTGTACTGATGCAATCAGTAAAGCAGCACCTCTCCTTCCTGTGTGCAAATCTCAGCAGGTCACCATGAGCTCTTGGTTCTTACCTTCCTGGTTCTTCCAGAGGGCCTCTTGGTAAAGGTTCTGAGCAAAGGCCAGGTCCTTACTTTCAGCCACTCAATTCATTTTTTCTTATCATATGTGTATGTGTGTGTGTGTGGTATTTAATAGGTTTGCTTTCATTCATAAACCTTCCGCTGAATACCCATTAGGTGCCAGAGACTGACTTTGGGTCCTAGGCATAAAAGATGAATGAATCACAGGCCGTAGCTGAAAATCAATGACTATAAATATAAGGATTTATTTTAGGGCTCTCAATTCTGTCCCACTTATCTATATGCTATCGTCATACAAATGCCATACTGTCTTGATCACTATGGATTTGTAGTGAGTTTTGAAACTGAGTACTATAAGTCCTCCAACTTTGTTCTTCTTCTCAAGCCTTTTTATTATTCTAAGGTTCTAGGTCCTTGGCATTTCCATATAAATTTCAGATCAGCTTGTTAATTAAAAATGAAAAGCTGGGATTGTGATGAAGATTGCATTGAGTTTATGTATCGATTGGGGGAAAATTACAATCTGCATTTTAAAGATGAATTGCCATCTTGACAATATTAAGTCTTCCAATCTTATACACATGAGCAATTTAGATCTTTAATGTCTCTCAATGTTTTAGTTTGTAGTCTACAAGATTTACATTTCTTTTGTTAAATTTATTCCAAAGTATTTTATTCTTTCTTATGCTGTTATAAATGGGCTATTTTCTTAATTTCATATTTTGATTGCTTGTTGCTAGTGTATAGAAAGATGACTGATTTTTGTATATTTATCATGGATCCTACTATCTTGTTAAGCTTGATTAGATGTTTAGAGGGTTCTTTAGAATTTTTTACATGTAGAATCACATCACTGTGAAAAAAGACAGTTTTATTTCTTTCTTACAAATTGATATACCTTTAACTTTTTTCTTTTGCTTTACTGCACTGGCTTCAGGACGATATTTAATAACAGTGGTAAAAACAGACATTCGTATCTTGTTCCCAATTTTAGGAGAAAGCATTCAGTCTCCCTCCCATTAAACATGATGTTAGCTGTGGGTTTTTCTTAGATATCCTTTGTCAGATTGAAGGAGTTCCTGTCTATTACTAGTTTGTTGAGACTTTTTAATTTGATAAATACTTTGATAAGTTTAATTTGATGAGGATTTTGTAAATTGCTTTTTGGCGCCTATTGAAATGATAGTGTGTTTTTTTGTCCTTTATTCTATTAATATGTTATCAGGTAGACTTAGTTGAAGTTTTCTATATTCTTGCTGATTTTCTGTCTAGCCATTCTATCAGTTATTAAGAGCAGAGGATTGAAATCTCCAAGAATTATTGGTGAGTTGTGTATTTCTCCTTCAATTATGTCAGTTTCTGCTTTATGTGTTTTGAGACTTTTGTCAGATATGAATCCACTCATACTTGTTATATCTTCTGGATACATTGACTCATTATAAAATACCTATCTTTGTTCTAGTAATATTTCTTGTCTTAAAATCTAGTTTGTTATTGACAGCACTTCAGCTTTCATATTGTTACTATTTGCATTCTTTTGCTTTCAGCCTTTTTGTGTCATGGAATATAAGGTGCAAACTGCATATAGTTAGATGTCACTTTTTTGTCCAGGTTGACAATCTCTGCATATTGATCAGGCACTTATATCATTCTCATTTAATGTAATTATCGATTGCTTTGATCTGCATTTGCTATTTTCCTAATTATTTTCTATATGCTTTCTGTCTTTTTGGTTCCTGTAGCCCTCCTTTACTGCCTTCTTTGGCGGTTAAACAAATATTTTTTAGTGTTCTATTTATATTCCTCTGTTAATTTTTTTAACTATTTATTTTTGAGTTATTTTGTTATTGGTTGGCCTATGATTGTAATATGCATTTTAGCTTATCACAATATACTTCGTATTTTTACCAACCTAGTTTTGGCAATATTTAGCTTTGTTCCAACAGAACTTTCTCTTCTCTCTCTTGTGCTATTATCATGTTGTCATTACACCTCTCTTTATATAAACTCAACAAAGTGTTGTTACATTTAGAACTTTAAATTATCTTATGACTGTTAAAGAAGAGAAGGAAGAAGAAATATATTTATAGAATCTTTTGTATTAACTCACATATTTCCTATTTCTGGTGCTTTTCATTTCTTCCTGTAGATTCAAGTTACTCTCTGGTGGCATTTTCTTTTAGTCCAAAGGACTTCCTTTAGTATTCCTCGTAAGACAGGTTTGCTAGTGACAGACTCACTCAGTCTTTGTTTATCCAGAATACCTTTATTTTGCCTTCTTTTTTTTTTTTTTTTTGAGGGATAGTTTTGCTGGATATAGTATTCATGGTTGGCATTTCTCCCCCAGCACTTTGAGTATGTTATCCCACTGTCTTCTCATCTCCAATATTCAGATGAGAAGTCAACTGTTAATAATGTTGATGCTCCCCTGTATGTGATGAGTCCTTTTCCTCTTTCTGTTCTCAAAATTACCTCTTTGACCTTTCCCCTGACAGTTTGACCACAATGTGTCTATGTATAGATTCTTTATATTTATCCTATTTGTGATTGATTATGCTTTTTATGTGTGTAGATTAATGTTTTTCATCACATCTGGAAATTTTAGGCCACTAGTTCTTCGAATACTTTTTCTTCTCCCTTTTCTTTCTCCTCTCCTTTGGTAGACTATTATTACACATATTTCAATTCACTTGATTTGTCTCACATGTCTCTGAAGTTCTGTTTATTTTCTTCAATCTTTTTTTCCCCACTCCTTTTCAGATAAAATAATTCTATTGATCTATCTTCAGATTCACTGATTCTTCTGCCATTTTGAATCTTTTTTTGAGGTCCTCTCATATCGTTTCATTTCATTTAATGTACTTTTCGATGCCAAAACTCCAACTTG